ATGGAGCAACCACCTTGACGCCTGTCCAGCCGCCCGCCCGGCCGGGCTTAACCCCACCGCTGCTGGGACGGGTCGTGGCCTCAGTGCCTGGGACAGCATGGCCGGGGCCAGCTTCACCTGGGATGGGCTCCTTGGTTCTCCCCTCCGGGCTGTAACTGCCTCTACAGCAGCTCGGGGAGGGGAATGGAAGGAGATGCCCAGCAGGTCAGGGATGGTGGTCCTGGGGGAGGGTGGCCCTGCTGGAGATGGGGTTTGGGTGGGCAGCGAGCATGCAGGGATGGATGGGGCAGCCTCGCAGAGTGCACCACAGCCGTGCCCTGGGTGCTGAGCAGCAGCACCGACTCTTCCCTGGGTGCTGCTCTGCTCTGCTGGGGATGCCCTGGCCTGAGCCCTGGCACCAGGACCCGAAAACCACACGCTGGGGCTTGCAGCATCCTCATCGCACAGGAGGTTAGAGGTGCGGGGACCACCCTTACCAGGAGACAGGCTGAAATGCCCAAGGTTTTACAGTGACACGAGTGGGAGATGAGTTGGAAAATGGGGAGAAGCTCTTCTCCATGTGGCACTAGAAGCCCTGGGGCTAAACCCGCAGCCATGGCCTGCAGGTATATCTGCCTGGTGGGTGGAGATGGTGGTGGTGGCACCACATGCTGTTCAGCTCGGTGCTTTTGTGCTGCAGGGGAAGCGGAGAGCAAAGCCCGTGTCCCACCAGCGAGGTGACAGCTGCCAGGGTCCCTCAGCTGTCGGCTCCTCCGCCAGCCCCCCATACAGATGGTGGGTGATGCTCCTGGCTGGCACATCGCACTCTCTGCCTGGCAGCTCATCAAAACCACCCCGGGGAGGCTGGTGACCTCGTTCTGTGTCCCAGGTCGTTTCCCCACCAGTGTTGAATGCAGCTTCTACAGAATCTTTTACCAGTTTCCAGGAAAGAAAAAATAAATAAATAAAAAGCCCCTTCTGCCTAAGCAAGAGGAGCCCTGTGGGCCAGCAGCTCCTGGATGGAAAAGCCATGGCTAACCCTTCCCAACATCCCAGTAGCCCTGTTCCTCCTTGGAGATGCACCAGGACAGGGCTGGCACTGTTCACATCCATGGCTCCAGGAATGGGAGTCCCCCACCAGTGCTGAAGCTCTTCCCAGCCCCTGTTCCCCCAGTGCTGGTCCCCGAGGTGGAGATGAAGCAGAGATGCTCTCCACCACCAGCCCCATTCCGTGGGCATCATCCCTGGGGGAACCCAGCACCTCCTCCAGTTCACTGATTTACTTGGGCAGTTTTAAGCAACCTTCTTACCAGCCAAAGCAGGACCATGCCCATGGGAAGAGGCATAGGAGAGAGATGGCCAGACTCCATCCAAAGAGGACCCAACTTTCCCACAAGTTGTTTTCTCCCTTTCTTTTTGGCCCCGAGTGGTGCTCTCCTCCCCCTCTATTTTAATCCTCTCTTCTGGGAAATTATAGATCAGAAGGGAGAAACGAGAGATGGAGATACGCGCACCCACTAATAGGCGCCAAGCACATATTGACACAAGGTGTAATCAATCTGGAAGCTAAAAAGAGCTGAACCAGCAGGAACCAGCCAGC